TGTGCATACAAAATTTCTAGCGATTCCAGAATTCAAAAACGCGACGATATTTTGCAAACACATTGATGTTTTTGTTTGCGCGTTCATGTATGTGCGTACAGGGTGGCCCGTTTAAGAGGGGCCTAACCTTATCTCGAAATCTACAAGGACTGTAAAAAAAATTTAAATACAAAAGTTGTTTCTAATAAAATTATCTACAACTTTTTTGTATTTTTTTTGGTGTCACTCTACTATATACAGGGTGGACAAATGAAATTTCATTTTTTTAAATGGAACAGCCTATATTTTAATACATTTTTAAATAGCTATTTGAAAGACAAATTCAACGGTATACTGGTCATGTGTCTGTGATATACCGTTTCGAACTTATTAGCGACTATCTTCAGGATTTGGCGAAATTTTCAACAGTCATTGTTACGTTACTCATAAACTTTTTAAACTTTTTTTTGCATGATATTTTCTATAAAATCAATCTCTTCTTCAGATTATAGTCAAATTTGAAATATTTGTTTAAAAAACGTGGTGTTGCCACGTTTTTCAGGCCGAAACGGTGCATCAATAGACCCATTTCTAGTATATCGTTGAATTTGTCTTTTAAAGGGCTATCCAAAAACTAGGAGGTCCCATTTGAAAGAATTGTTGAAAAATTTAACATTTTGCAAAACGTGGCAACACCGCGTTTTTTAAACAAATATTTCAAATTTGACTATAGTCTAAAGAAGAGCATTATTTTATAGAAAATACTAGCTAATGACCCGCTGCGTTGCCAGCGTGTAAATACATTTTGAAATAATACACTTCTTTTCAAATTTTGTTGTTGATTTTCTATTTAATTTTTTTTTAAATCCGATATCAGAGTCGCTTGCCAGTGAGTTCAGTGACGCATTTTAAGCACTCCAGAGCTGCTCTAGAGCGCCCCGGGCTGTTTATAGGCGTTCCAGTGTATCAGAGTTTTACGCAACCGAACTTTTTTTTTCGGGATAAAAAATAGCCTATATCAATCTCCTCTATAGCCGATTCGATTGACCGGATTAGATCGATCTGGTTCAATTTAAATGAACCACACTGTGTTCGATTCAAGCTGGATCAGTGCACCCTCATCAACAAAAAAATGATCTAGATCAGAAGAAGTTCACTTAAATTGAACCCAAATCGATCTAATCTGGGTCAATCGAATTCACCTTATATAGAGATACGTGGTATTAATTCAAGATCGGTCCAGCCGTTCTTGAATTCAAAAAATAATAAAGTTACGTCGGTTGAATGCAAGCCTAAATAAATGAAATATGTCAACGTTATTTCATGCTGTCAAAAAAAGTTGGGTTATGTTGTTATGTAATGTGAATGAGTTTGTTTACCTACAATTAAATTAATAATTAATTCAAAATTAATTTCTTTTTCCGAGATGCGTAACCTATCCACAAACCTTCCTTGGGATGGCCATAATAACCTACCAAAGTTTCATCATAATCGGATAAGTGGTTTTAGAGCGCATATCCGGATACCCCGTGAACTTTGATTTTTATATATATAGATAGAAGATAGATATAGATAGATTATGCAAAAAAGAGTTTAAAAAGTTTATGAGTAACGTAACAATGAGCGTTGAAAATGATTCCAAGTCCTGAAGATAATCGCTAATAAGTTCGAAACGGTATATCACAGACACATGACCAGTATATCGTTGAATTTGTCTTTCCAAGGGCTATTTAAAAATGTATTAAAATATAGGGTATTCCATTTAAAAAAATTAAATTGCATTTGTCCACCCTGTATATAGTAAAGTGACAACAAAAACAAAACAAAGAAGTTATAGATAATTTTATTAGAAACAACTTTTGTATTTACATTTTTTTCACAGCCCTTGTAGATTTCGAGATAAGGTATAGGCCCCTCTTAAACGGACCACCCTGTACATGTTTGGGTTTGTTTGACACTCACAAAAGCGCGGGATGTATGTACCGGTTTCTCAAGGAGAATACAGACTCTAAGGAGTGCTTATCGGCCTCGTTTTTGGTAATCGTCGCCATATTGGTTTTCAACTGTTTTCAACCATTGCCGTCGTCATAACTAAGTCGTCAGCTGTTTAAACAGCCTACGTCAAGGCGAGAAACGCCATGCTGCTTACGTCACAAGTGGTTGTTTGGCGGAGGGGGGTAGGGGGGTATTTGTTACACACAGGCCGTATGAGGATAAGCCATCCTGTAGTAGTAGTGTGTATCATCCTTGCCGGCTTCTACCGAAGAACGGAAAGTGTTTATTAGGCCTGCAATGTTGCCTATTTTACCTAAAAAATATTTATTTTATAATAGATGCATTGCTTGGCAAAGTTACCCCTTTAGGCAAAATAACCCCACTGTACGGTATTAAATAATTCTTTGAAAATATTCAATCTACGAAGGATGTTTCCTACATTTTTAAAACAAGTTTTAATATATGCGAATTGAGAGATTGCCCTATGAACGAGTGTTTTTTTGAAGATTTATCTTGCATCTAATCTTATTTTTTTGTGCTACGAAGATTATATTCCTAAATCATAATACAATGAGTGTGTTCGAATTTTCTCGAAGTACTGTATATAAAATCATTATTGAATTTTGCTAAATCGTAATTAGGTATAGTTGAAATCACGATAGAAAGTGAAGTTGACAGTTCGCGTTGACATTTCTAGTAATTTTTTTCTTTAGGATTCCGTCAGCTGGGATGAACAACAGGATCGTATTTAGAAAAGTAATATACCAGGTTTGAAATACAACACCGAAACACAGAAGTACAGAACACTACATAGAAAAAACAAAAAACCGATTGTGAATATAACATATATCACAAAATAATGCAGAAAACGGCAAAAAACTGTAACTTTTTCACACAAAAATTCGAAATTCAAAATTCATAGATCCGAATCTGATATTTTTATATGTCGAATCGAAATATCATGTATCATTATTTGATAGTTGACAATAAAAGGGACAGGTTTGGGGATTTTATTTACTATCAACTGGTTAAAATAATGGTCAAAATTCAAACTCTATCGTGAATTCAACTATACTTAATTTTTAATTGTAGAGTGCAATCATTGCGAGCTTTAACAATGTAATTATAATTATCCACTAATATTTAATATGTCATAATTATTGTACAGGGTGTTTCCTCATATTTTGACCCCTACCCACAGCTTTAGCTATACGAGGTGAAAAAAAAATATCGGTCCAGACTTGTTTTGTTTTATCTGATTTTGCAAGAAGACTGGACCAGGAACACTTTTAATCAGATTGGAATTGAAGAACCTCTTTGGAGCTCAATTTGTTGCTGTATGTAACAAAGACCTTTAATGGTTTTGGTTCTCAGGTGGCAATCAATGGACCTTCAAAATCTACATTTATTCTTTCGAAAGAAGCAGAAGATTTTTAGATGGTCCCTTGATTTCTATATGTGATGTCTATTTTGCAAATAGTGTAGTCAATAATCGATTTTTGTTGTCAAGTTAAATTTTTCTCGATTTTGATGTGAGAATCAGGCCTATGATGTAACATAGCTGTTAAAATAACAGGAGTGGATACATCATAGGCATGAATGTCATTATTCCCGCAAGCAAAATCGTTGAAGAATGAAGCTCATTCTTCAACGATTTTTAGTGACATTTAGTTTTCAAAGTATACCTATTGGTACCTTCAAAATTGTCAAACCTTCTAAAATGATCATTGAAAATGATAGAATCCACCTGTCAGTTGGTTGGTAAGTAAGTGTCACCAACTGACATATTTTGAAAATAAAAAATCCCCAACTAACAGCGTTCACAATTTTTTTTTTAAAAAATGAAAAATAAAATCCAAAATCGAGAAAATAGTATAAAACTCACGTTGCAGAAGACTATTCCCGCATTCATTTGTTCGTCCACTCGCTCCTTCGACGCTCGTGTCCAAATTTCGAATTCGTGCGAAAATATGTGGCCTTCTGCTACTTGTATTTTAATATACTATTCCACGTTTATTTATGTATTTCTTTATGTTGAAAGTATCTATTTGGAATTTTTAGGTTATTTTGTTAGCACTTCTCCATTGTTATTTATTATATTTTTTCCAAATTTTCCTACTATCTTGTCGTTGTTTTTTTTTTCTTGTTTCCCTGGAATTTCCTACTTTTATGATTTGAGTAATAATGAGTTGTTGATATAATGGATAAGTGTTTCGTTTACTGTTTCTCATGGCGTTATATGTTTTCTCCATTTTTTATGTTTGATAATTAGATATTTTTCCATGAAACACGGTGAAGAAATGATCTTTCTCTCCCAGATTTTTGAAGCCCTGTCCTTTCTTCTTGGTCTCCGTGGTGACAATGAGGAGGTCCATTGTTTTATGTGTGATCTCTGATATTACTTCATCCATTTTCCTAGAGATTCCATGTACCTCGTCTCCTATTTCCAGTCCTGTTTCGAGGTTGTTGATTGTGTTTTTTGAAAAGTCTTCAGTTTTTCGGAGTAACGGAGAGTTACCCTGAATGCCTCAACCCTCTATCAAGAGGACCAGGTAAGTTGTTGTCGAGGTTATCTTCCTCTAACCTTGGATGCGATGGGCCTAGGTACTTCCAGCCACAAGGCAGCAGCTTCTTCGTCGTTTTGCTCCCAAATCGATGTTAGTTAGAATGGCTACAGACAGAGACGATATGGTGTTAAGCAACATTAAAAAGTGGATCCCTGGCCTGATCGTTAATCCTTGCCAATCCAAAACTGCATACCTATTACAACTGGATTTATTTAAAAAAACAAAAGTCGACAGGTACAAAAAATAAGAAGAATATGTCTATTTTAAACAGATCTTCTATTTTTTTTTCAAATCCGGAAACAGGTTCACTTCATTGGCTCAATTTTTTCAGAGAAACAAGATTTATCGATGAGTTCTTCGCTTCTTACGACGACATAAACGTGCGTGACTGTTGAAATTTGGTATCTGTGCTGTGTGCATTTCACTTCTTTTTACTTACACAATGATATTTGATTTCAGGAAGTAGCGGGATGTGGTGGCGGTCATCAGGGGGGCCTGCGGGGAGCAGGTAGCGGCGTGGGCGGCTGCGGGACCCCCCGACGCCGACGTCCATCAGCATGCGGCGCGCTAGAGAATGAAGAAGCAAAACGTCCGCACCCTCTCGCTGATAGTGTGCACCTTCACTTACCTGCTCACGGGCGCCGCCTTCTTCGACGCTCTCGAGTCGGAGACCGAGAACAAACGCAAGATTGTGCTTCAAGGTAAATACGTTCACGAGTTGAATCTCAGAATTTCTCATCATGAAGAAATATAAAGTTTTGTTAAAATATAATGTTGCTCTGTTGGGGTTTGTTTGAATGACCAAAATGAACTGCTAAACTTCTCATTTATGAAGTGTGAAGAGGGGGGTTGGATGGACACCATCAAAGGGGTGAAAGAATGAGTCAAATTTGTAATGGTGTAAATGTATTTGAAAAAAATACCAATCGCTTTCGACTAGAGTAATGCTAGCCCCCCCAATTGTTAAATTCTTTTCAAAAATGCTAGCGCAAGTTCGTGACACCTAAGCGCACCCTGGCGCAAGTTGTGTCGTAGCTAGCGCAGCTATCGTAACTGTTTATACAGGGTAAACTGAATCAGTGCCTACATGTGACTTTCAATTTTTCCGAATTGTATCCAAAGCTTACCTAAAGCTAGCACATTCTAGCCGTTTATTAATTATCCAGATTATTCGGGAGGGATGGCTAGAGTAGGTAACACTAGTTCTTTTCCCTTCCAGTTGTTCCTTTTCAAAATGCTGGCGCATTGCGCACATTCGTGACACTTACAGTGACTTGCTGAACCGAACCTTTTCATCCACACTCCACAGTGGCGTCAATTGACCTTTTGTTTGGACGCCATATTGCGGTACGCGAACATAGTTGACAAAAGAAGAAAACAAAAATTAATAGCGGGCTGTCAAAATTTAAAAAAAATAACATGATTGATCCTCGCTATCCTTTTTGTTTGTTTACTCGAGGTTTACTTCCTTTCTCTGATTCTATAAACGAACAAACTTAACCTAGGTAACCGAAATTTGGTAAAGTAAATAGGTAGATATTTTATTATTTCTATTCTGCCCAATACAAAATTGATGACTTTTCTTTTCAACAACATTCGTAATAGGCGGCAAATTTAAATTTTAAATATAATTTATTCAGTAACTTTTGTTTTTAAAGTGGACAGTACGCTAGTAATTTTTTTATTCTACTGTTGGCAACTATGTTCGCGCACCGCAATATGGCGTCCAAACAAAAGGTCTGTGGCGGATGTCCGCCCCAGATCCGTTGGCAACCATGCAAATGGAGCGGCAACGCGGTACACCAGCGGTAGGAACGTCAACTGTCTCCGAGTCCCGGCCAGCTGATGACTGACACAAGTCCGACGCCCGCTCGAATAATAAAAACAACACGCCCGAACAATTTCTATTTTTTCATTTTTACCGATGTTTTATTTTTGTATTTGGCATAAATAAACAGTAGATTAATTAAGTTGATCAGTGCGCCTTATTTGCCCGCCGCAAACCGGCCACAGTGGTGACCCCGACAAACGCGTGAGTGCGACGTGCTACCATCCAAAGAACCTTGACTCTTGACTCTTGACCGCGTGTGCAGTGCCCCAAAATTCACACCCACACGGCCCTCGTCTAACACGGCCAACGACGACGCCATGGACCCAACCGACGATCAGACCATAATCGCCCGTGTAGGGATCAAAGCGCCAGAATTTTGGTGCGCCGAACCAGAACTATGGTTCCTTCGACTCGAAGCACAGTTTCGGCAAGCAAAGATAACAACAGACAACTGTAAGTTTGACCACACGGTGACTAGTTTAAACAGCGAGGTCCTATCAGAGGTAGCCGACATAATACGAAACCCAACTGGAGGTACTTCTTATGAAGATCTAAAAACCCGCCTTCTCGAAAGATACGGTACTAGTGCTGATGAAAGAACCCGCCGACTGCTGGAGATAACCTTGGGTGATTTCAAGCCGACCCAGCTTCTCCATCGCATGCAAGCCCTAGCCACCACCAATGTAAGTACAGAGGTACTGAAAAATCTGTGGCTCGACCGCCTACCGCCCCAAGTCCGAGGGGTAATATCCGTCCTGGATGGAGACCTAGAAGAGCTGGCGAAGAAGGCTGACAAGTTCATACGCAATAACAGCCTTCCAGTTATGTCTATTGAGGAGAAGCCCACCTTAGAGAAAACTGTAGCTGAACTAGGCGACCAGATAAGAGCTCTGTCTGCGAAATTAAGTGTCGACGAGAAATCGCAGGAACCTCGACCTGCCCGAACAACCAACACTGCAGTCGCTGATGGGCAGTGCTATTACCACCGAAGGTTTGGCCCGCAAGCCAAGAAGTGCAGACCCCCATGCACTTATTCAAAAAACGACCAGGGGGCGCAGTAGTGGCGACAACCGTGGCCTCCCATAGACACCGTCGCCTGTTCGTGACAGATAAACTGCTCCAACTCCAGTTCCTCATCGACACCGGAGCTGACCTAAGTGTGCTGCCACGTAAGATCTGCACCGCTACACAACCAAGCACTATCAGCCTGTACTCCGCCACTGGTTCCCGTATCAGAACGTATGGGCATAAGCAATTGGAGTTGAACCTCGGTCTTGGCCAACCGGTCAAGTGGACCTTTGTAGTTGCAGACGTCACCACCGCCATCCTAGGCGCTGACTTTCTCACACAACATGGCATCACCGTAGACATGCGCAGAAAGCGCCTTGTTAGTCCCACCGCTCCGAGCAGCATTGCATGTGTGTCCCGAACAGTGAAGGAGCCGGAAGTGGGGCTATCGACGGCCCACCCCTACGATCGCTCAACTGGTATGTCTGATAATCCTGGAAAAGTCCAGCACTACATTGATACCCAAGGATCCCCGGTATTCTCCAAACCACGTAGGCTCCCGCCAGACCGCCTACAAGCCGCACGAGCCGAGTTCAACGACATGATGCAAGCACACATAGTTCAGCCATCAAAATCTCCATGGGCCAGCCCACTTCACATGGTACAAAAAGCCAACGGCCAGTGGCGTGCTTGCGGAGATTTCCGCCGACTGAACGCCATTACCAAACCTGATCGCTACCCAGTGCCACATATTCAGGATTTCGCCAACCAGCTACATGGCAAGAAAATCTTTTCGACCATTGACCTCATACGTGCTTTTTACCAGATCCCAGTCCGCCCTAGAGATGTACAGAAAACGGCTGTGATCGCGCCCTTTGGCCTGTACGAATTTCTAAAGATGCCCTTTGGCTTACGAAACGCCGCCCAGACACTGCAGCGCTACCTCGACCACCTCTTCCGAGGGTGCCCCTTTGTTTACATTTACATCGACGACATCCTGGTAGCCTCCACGACGGAAGCTGAACACGAACAGCACCTGGCATCAGTCCTACGGATCCTAAAAGAGAACGGGCTTCAAATCAACCTGGAGAAATCTAAATTCCGGACCCGTGAAGCCCATTTTCTGGGCGTCATTGTCTCTCCGACTGGTGTCAGACCTTTGCCGGCTAAAGTCAGTGCCATCCGAGACTTTCCACAACCCACAACGTACAAACAGCTACGCCGCTTCATGGGAATGGTCAATTTTTACCGACGCTGGTTACCAAGCGCTGCAACCGAGCTCATGCCACTAACCGAGCTATTGGCCCATCAGAAAAAAAAGCAACAAGACCTCAGCTTGACCCCAGCAGCAGCAGCTGCCTTCTCCAGAGTTAAAGAACTCTTGGCCACCGCTGCAGAGTTGGTCTTCCCAGCACCACAGGCCCAGTTAAGCATGTCAGTCGACGCCTCCGACACCGCAATTGGTGGTGTACTGCAACAACTGGTCGACGAACACCTACAACCCATAGCCTTTTTCTCACAAAAGCTATCCGTAACACAGCGAAATTACAGTACCTACGACCGTGAGCTGTTGGCCATATTCAGTGGCATCCACCATTTCCGCCATTTTCTCGAGGGCACTCAGTTCACAATCTACACTGACCATAAGCCTTTGACATACGCCTTCCAGCAGCGTCACGACCGCCAGTCCCCACGACAAATTCGGCAGCTCGAATTTATTGGCCAATTTTCCACCGACATCCGACACGTCCAAGGTGCAGCAAACATTGTCGCTGATTGTCTCTCGCGACCTGAGGTAGACGCCCTCGCAGCGCCTATAACCATCGACTTTGACAGGCTCGCTGAAGCCCAAACTACAGACGAGAGCCTACAACAGATCCTACATGATCCTGCCAGCTCCCTACACCTCCAACGCATCATCACATCAGACACCGAACGACCTCTCTACTGTTCAGTTCAAGATGGGCGCCTTAGGGTGTATGTACCAGCCGGTTTTCAGAGGGACGTTTTCCGCAAATTCCACAACCAGTCGCACCCAGGGCATGCTGCTACACTCCGACTGATCGCAGACCGATTTGTGTGGCACAACATGAACCGCCAAGTTAAGGAATGGTCACGAGAGTGCATCCAATGCCAACGTGCCAAGGTAGGACGCCACACAGTCACTCCTGTAGCACCACTAGGAATGCCCGATGACCGTTTTGCCCACATACACATCGACATAGTAGGACCACTCCCACCAAGCCACAACTTCCGATACCTACTCACCATTATCGACCGATTTACAAGGTGGCCCGAGGCCATCCCTATCCTGGAAATGACTGCCGAAGTAGTGGTAGAAAAACTCCTCGAAATATGGATATCCCGTTTTGGTGTGCCAGCAACCATAACCACCGACCGAGGCCGACAATTTGAGAGCCAGTTGTTCCGCCAGCTCAACACAACGCTTGGGGTGCAGCACATCAAGACGACTGCCTACCACCCACAATCAAATGGGTGTATTGAACGGTTCCACCGAACCCTCAAAGCCGCCCTCATCGCCACCGACGTGGTATCCTGGACCGAAGCCCTCCCCCTGGTCATGTTAAGCCTACGCAATACCTTCAAGCAGGACATTTCTTGTACAGCTTCTGAGTTGGTGTATGGTACACCAGTTCGCCTTCCTGGACAACTGCTAGCTCCGAGTGCTGTCGCACCCGACGAACATCGATTTGTCCAACGACTTCGTGAAATTATGGGGGCATTACGGCCAGTACCAACAAGCAACCACTCAACCCGCACAGCCTATATCCACCCAGACTTGTCGACAGCAACGCATGTATTCATACGTACCGACAAAGTCAAGCCGCCGCTAACAGCCCC